ACCAAACAAATGAGAGAGACACCGTATATTTACTAAAAATCTTAAGGTGATTAGGGGTGTACATCGGTTGGGTTGGATCTTGTTTGACCTAATTTATTACCTAACCCGTTCAAACTTCAATGAGTTGGATTTTTCGTCCAACCCGTAATTTCTTTGTTGAAACCGACCCGAACCGACTCGTTCATTTATGGGTTGAGTTGAGTTGGATTCACGAATTGTGTTTCAAATTAAAAATATTTTTTATGATTCTTTTTGTCGGTTTAAAAAAAAGTAAAACAACTCAATACAATCATGCTCATTTATAACACACAAATTCAATGAAATACATCATATAATATCTAATAAAATTCATCAACACAACATGACACTTGAAAATAGTATAATATTCAACAAGACATGTTATTTTCATAAAATACATAAATTGAAAACGATAGAAAAGAAAATAAGAAACAATATTTAATCTTAAAATTACATAAATTCATTGATCTAATAGTATTATTGGTGGAGAATAAATCTTTTTTAGAAAAATTATGCTTATTGGTGAGATATTAATTTTATATTTTTATTTAAAATAATAATAAAAATAATAAGAAATTACTAAATGCACATCAATGAGTTGGGTCAACGGGTTTGCGAGTTGCAAAACTCAAACCCGATGCCCGAACCAAAACTATATGGGTTGGATATACCCATAAATGAATGAGTTTGGGTAATTTATTGGTTGCTTCGGTTTGGGTTAGCGGGTTCGTGGATCGACCCACATCCATGAACACCCTTAAAGGTGTACGTGAATGAGTCATTTCACTTATAAAATGATCAACCTCCACTTTTCTGAAAAATGTGGAACTTAAAACTCACACATGTTTTGCCAACACATCTCCATTTGTTTTCCAACACCTTTACACTCTCTGCAAAAGATCCACGACTCCACCTTTATCACAACTAGAGCTGACAAAATGCGCTACTTGACCCACTTTGAGTTGGTCCGTGTCAGACTCAAGTTTTTGGCAGATCGAAAAAAAAACCCAAAATTTAAACGGATTATAATTTAGTTGTCCAATCTGATTTTTTACAAATTAGGTTATTTGGACCGGCCCGAATTACACTTAATATTATATTTTTAATTAAAACAAATGTTAAAAAAATTATAAACAAAATTTTAAAAATATATGAGTTGTGTCTAAAGTACATATATCTTTATATGTTAACTATCAACATTGCTATTTTGACACAGATTTTTGTTACACTGTATCATACACCGTATATATAACCCGTATATATAAATTTTAAAATGAAAAATGATATCGTTACACTCTATGATACACCTACACCGTATAATACAATTCAATCTTAATATTTTATCATTAATTTTTCTCTCCTATTTTATATCAAAACAAAAAGATCCTATTTTTAAATCAAAATAAAAAGATAAATTATTTATTTAAATAGATATTTATTATTTATTTATTTATTTTAAATCCTACAATAATAAATATTTTTTAAAAAATATAAAATTTATTATTATTATTATTATTAAATTAATTAATCAATTTTATAATTTTATTAACGAACATTTTATATTTTATTAACTAAACTTATTTTACTATTAAAAATTATTTTTAATATTTGGACGTTCATTAACTAACTTCATCATTTCATTAACCAATTTTTCTCTTTTCATTAACCAATTTTATTTTACTATTAAAAATTATTTTAAAATTTTAGATGTTTATTAACCAACTTCATCACTTTATTAACTAGCTTTTTCTTTTTCATTAACCAACTTGTTTTACTATTAAATTTTTTAAAATTTTGGACGTTTATTAATCAACTTTTTACATTTCATTAATCAAATTTGTTTTTCTACGTAAAATTACTGTTTACAGAGATACGGTTCACATATTGTTCACGCACTGTTTATCACATTACACTGTTTATAAATATTTTTTTTTTATTTAAAATTTTATTCACTATATAAATACGATTATTTGAAAAACATGGTAGATGTTAAAAACTAGTGTAAACCTATCTTTTCTCGTGTCTTTATATATGCTAACTATAGACTATGCAAATGAATAGCTTTAACTTAATAAGTTAGTTTTACAGTTAACTAAACATTAAAACATTCATCGGATGAGCTTTAAATAGAACTGCAACAATAAAAACTTCAAGTAATATATATACAAAATGAAATAAAAAAAACAATCTGAATATAAAAAAGATGAAATAAAAGAAAAACAATATGAATAAATAAATTTGATAAAGTCTAAGATACACTTGAGCTGAGTGGTTACTCTCTTTTTCTCTACCTTTAATGGTAAAAATTACACCATTGTCTTATTTAAAAACTTTGTAGCAGCAATATATATAATTTAAGAATTAATTGAAGAGTTCACTCCCATCTCTTTCTCTAATTCAAAATAAGAAAATAAGTTGAAGAGACAACTTCAACACTTGATGAACCAAACACTTTTCTCCTACATTGTAGTTAGACAACTTAGTTTCATTCAAGCTAAGTTAAATACACATTTTTTTAACTAAAATAATTTTTTTTTTAATTTTCTTTTTACACTAGCTTGTTATACTATACTGTATAAACTATGTTTATTTGTACAAAAATTATTAATTATATATTTATACAATTTATATATATGTGAGTCAGATAATTACTTCCCTCTCTTTATAGTTACCATATACTCGATCACTTTTTATACTACATTGAATCACTTTTTATTTTTATATTTTCATTATAACCGCAACTTCTTTTTTTTTTCTTGCGTCATTTTCCCATCTCACCATTCTTTTCTTTACATATCCATCCATACTCAATCAAATACATAAAATAATTATTATATCATAAAAAATAGCAATTTATTTGGTATTATTATGTAATAAAAGACGAAGATTTAGCTCAATAAACTTCTAAGTACATTATAGTTTCATCTAATAATATTAATTTTTTTCTTTTGGATCATATTTCCTATTGTTTATAATAAAAGATAATAAAAAATGTTATAAACATGTATTTATAGACGTTTATTATCCAATTTATATGGACAATTAACTCATTTATTACATACAATTAACCAATTTTCATTACTCTTTATGGATTTCATATATTTTTTCATTATTGCTCATTAATCATGTTCTAGACTGTATTGACCAACTTTGTTCACAACGTTAATCAATTTTATTTACTGTTAATCAATTTTAATAAACTTTGTACAAATGTATGATGATTATGGGAGTTTTTTGTTATTAACTAGTGGCATGTGTATTTTGTGGACAAATGTCACATATCTATACTAATTTGACGAAATTGACATGATGGTATGGTGTTCAAACATTTTTTTAATCTTATTCAAACATTGCATACGCTAATGATAATTATTTTAGTGGTGCAAGTTATTCGGGTGGAATGTTGCAATAACGTAAATTTACTGTTGTGATGTAAAATTAGAAGTTTGTTTACTTCGTACACACATAAAAAAAGTACAGGAAGTTGGTTAATGAAGTTCAGTAAATTGGCTAATGTAAGTTAAAGTTTGGTTAATACATGCTCGAACATCAAAAGAGAGAAAAATTATTAAATCAAAGTCAATTAATTTAGTGCAGAAAGTTGCTTAATGGCATTTAAACTTTGGTTAATACAAGCTCAAACATCAAAACAAAGAAAAAACGTTAAATTAAAGTTGGTTAATGCAGTGCAGGATGTTGGTTAATGGAATTTTAACTTTGGTTAGTACAAACACAAACATCAAAATAAAGGAAACACGTTAAACCAAAATTGGTTAATGTAGCGGAGAAAGTTAGTCGATAACATTTTAACTTTGATTAATACAAGTCTAGACATCAAAACTAATTATGTAATATACTCAACACAGAACAACAAAATTTAGTTAATGATGTTATGACATACTCAACACATTATGCACATACACAAAACAGAACCACAAATTCTTCTAAATTTTGTAATACAACACATTTTTTCAACACAAATTTTCAAATTCTACAATACAACACTAATGATTTACAAATTCATTCTAATCTTTTTTCCATGCTTCCTTAATTTCTTCTTCATTCTTCTAGCCATGTTGGATGTAGACTTTGATTGGTTTTTCACAACATTGACATCATCATTAAATAGATTTTTATGTCTCGCATCTTCAACAGAAGTTCCTACGTCATCTTCATTGATAAAGTTCCCAATTTCCCGATCATCATGCACATCCTCATCCTCAAATAGAGTGTTAACTCTCACCTCTTTCATCATCCTCATTTCATTCTCAAGAACTACTATCCTCTCTTTGAAATCTTTACTCTCAACCATTAATCTTTGGTAATCATGAACATCAAAAAAAAAACCAGAACAAAACCAAAATTAATATAACTAAAGCTACTAAACTCTAACCCTTACACACCCTAAGATAGAAAAATAAACACACTTAAATTTAAAGAATAAATCTCAAATCATATTGTGAATGAGTGAGGGCAACTCACTTCAAAAATAAGTTTTTTTTAATTTACTTTATATTATAGTATTTAAATTAAAGTTAATTTAATGATTAAATTATAATTTCTACTCATAATTATTAGTTTAAATTTAATTTAAAAATTATAACTGTAGAATAAATTATAAAAATTTAGATCTGGCTTATTATGAATTAGTGTTAAGTAAAATAAGAAAAGCAAATGATTTCAATATTTTGTAATCCTTGTTTTATTCTTTTCAAGAAACAAGACAAGAAGGAAAGTTGTAGTATTAGGGGTAGTGGTGTAGTCGGAGGTCCGAGAAGACAGAGTTGACAGAGTCAGTCAGGGTCAATTTCGGAGTTCTCATTCATCCATTGCCGTCTCTAAAACCTTTTCTATTTCTCAATTCTTCTTATAACCTACAAAACCCCCCTTTTTATCTTTCTCTTCAATTTCAACAACAAGTTTTCATTTCAATCGTAAAAGAAACCGTTTTCTCATCTTACAATTAACATCACTATCGTATCATGTCTTTGAAACCGTCGATTTCCTCGGAGAATACGATGCTTCCTCTGTCGGATCCTCCGAAAATTCAACCCGACGACAAGCTTTTCAAAGGTTCCGCCATGACCAAACGTGGTGCTTACGCTGCCGTCTCGTACATGTCATGCGCTGGTAACTTATCATTAACAGAAAAATTGAAATTTGATTTTGAATTTTGATGCTTCATTTTGTTCCTCCATGGCTTAAAGTAATGTTTTTTTTTTTTTTGTAGTTCTGTTGGTGATGTTCAATAAGGCAGCTCTTTCTTCTTATAACTTTCCATGTGCAAATGTTATCACACTTCTTCAGGTTTGTTATGTCCCTAATCTTTTCTTTCTGTTTTTCTGGTTTATATCCAATGTTTAGTTCTTAATTATATATGTTATATGTTATTTGGAGTTGGTGAATTGTTTGATATGTTATGGATAATGATCACACCACATGTGTTGGTGTAGACTCTGGTACGGACACGCCTTCAATCTGAAGTGTTGGTGTAGACTCTGGTACGGACACGCCTTCAATCTGAAGTGTTGGTGTTACATGGAATTTAAGACATACCTTGTGAAACATATTTACTATGGATTATATTGAATATAAAGGCTTATGAATAGGATGCTTAGCGTTACCATTACTACGGATTACCGAGGCCTTAAAAGTTAGCAACTTATTGTTGTGAAACTCCATTTTGTCTATCATGTTTTAAAACATGCCTCTATGCTTATTTTTGCTGCAGATGGCTAGTTCGTCTTTTTTTCTTTATATGTTGAGGCGTTGGAGAGTAATTAGTTTTACAGCTAGTGAATCCTTACTTATATCAGATACTTCAACAAAGTTTGTATCGGTCAAAACTTTGAAGCACACTTTTCCTTTGGCCGCGGCATATTTACTTTACATGGTATAAGTCTTTCCTCCACCTTCTCCCTGAGGACAAGTTCTTAATAATTTTTTTTTTCCGTTTTAACTAATTTTTATTCATCCTTGTACTTCTCCTTAGCTAGTCACCATGGAGGCTGTTCGGGGAGTAAACGTTCCAATGTATACAACTTTGAGGAGGACAACAGTGGTATTTACAATGCTTGCAGAGTTTGTTTTGGTGGGACAGAGGTATACGCGATCCGTCGTTTTCAGGTAAATTGCTTCCTCTAATTGGAGTTACTGAGAAACTTAAGTTATTTACTTGTCATTGTTTCTCGGTCATTCTTGTTGAGAAATTGCGTAAACAAGTAAAAAGTATCGTGCATAATTCCCACAAGGTTGACGAGAGTTACACATTGACATCGGAAACTCAACATAACTAGTTCACCATCCTTTGTGTTGTTTCCCCATTGCATTTATAACTCGGTGAAGTTAAAATTCAAATTTTTTTTTTTTTGAATAAGCATCACCCTGATTCCTTAATTTAACTGAAATTTATAAGGCTGTTATCAGTGTTGGCTTGATTATCTTTGGTGCGTTTGTTGCGGGAGCACGAGACTTATCTTTTGATGGTTATGGTTATGCCGTTGTTTTCATGGCAAACATTACTACAGCAATATATCTTGCTACCATAGCCCGCATCGGTAACATTCCTATTCTCACACTCTCATATAAAGCGGAAAGTTTATAACTTGTTTCCTCATAAATCTCGACTATCTTATTTATTTGGCTTTATGTATTTTTCTCAGGTAAAACTAGCGGTCTTAATAGCTTTGGCCTTATGTGGTGCAATGGTAACCGATATAGATTGTATTGTGGCCTATTAAACTTTTTTACCTTCTTTCAGTGTGATTGGGTTTTGACCCAAAATACTTGTTCACCGTATTATAGGTATTCTTTGTGGGCCAGTTTTACTCGTCTGGACATTTATTCGTGGTGACTTGAAGATGACAATCGATTTCCCTTATCTCTTCTCACCTGGTTTTCTCGTAAGTTCTCTTTATAGCTATACTTCTTCGATAAGTAGTAGTATTCGTAATTAGACCTTCCTTGATAATTGGCCAGAAAAATGAATTCTCAAAAAGCTTAAAGCAAATATATCTGCAGCCTCATTGGGTTGAACCTCATCATTCATAACCGTAAACCTCTCCTTTTATGGGTTTAGTCATTAGTCTGATTTTTCTGTTCCTTTATTTCTTGGGCAGGTTATTTTGCTATTTTCTTGCATACTAGCATTCTTCTTGAACTACTGTATATTTCTCAACACAACTCTTAATTCCGCTCTGACACAGACAATTTGCGGTAATCTGAAGGTTCGTTTCCTGCCCGTAGTTTTACCTTGCTTAAATAATTATATATATGATTTACATAAGAGAGGACTTCGATGATTTCATGTTTTGAACTTCAACTCTAATGATTATTATTCTGCTTGATGTTTAGGATCTATTTACAATCGGCTTTGGCTGGATAATTTTTGGCGGGCTACCATTTGATTTCGTGAGTACTCCGTGCTCTTGTACTACTGTCTGTTTCGGTGTTACCATTTGATTTTTATTTACTGATTATAGAATATGTGTTGATTTGATTTCAGTGGAATATAGTTGGACAAATTCTTGGTTTCACCGGATCGGGTTTATATGCTTACTTTAAGCTCATTGGCAAATAACTTGTTCAAGTCTTCTAGATGAACATAGAATATGAATCAAACTTGGTTCTGTGGAACATTTTATGGACTAATCTCAATATGTTTAGGAAATTTTGTTGAATAGAAGATGACACAAACATTTTCTTAGGAAGCATTCTAGTTCTGCTGTCATGGTTTTAATGTAATAAAACCATTGTTGATCATGATGATGTAGTATGTTCACACTTCACAACCAATGGAAAATGTGAAAATCTTTGTGTATCCTTCTATTTGAAACTGTTAACAAATCATGGGAATTGACAAGTTAGGGGAATCTGAAGGCTATTAAGTAATAGTTATGCAGGTATGAGGACAATTGAGAAGTCAATCTTGTTTTATACAATAAATCATGGAATTAAACTTGGGAGCTTTAAACTATCAAAAACGTTAACTTTTTATGTGGGAATAAAAAACGGACAATATTGGGGTTATGATAATGATTTTCTATGGTATCCATATTTTAGTTCTGAAAAACATTGCCTCAAGAGACCCTTCTTCTTCAACATCTTCTTCACTTGTAAAACTTTTAGTAATCAAATCTTGAGCAAGTTTGATCAACTACTTTTCTGAATCCGAAAATATTACTAAAAAGGCACGAATTGCCTCCATAAAAGAATCTCCTTCAACAATTCATTAACTAGGTATGAATGTCTTGTTAGACTTCTGCAGAAATTTAGATGATGACTTTGGGATGTCTTGTTAGACTTCTGCAGAAATTTAGATGATGACTTTGGGATTTTAGTTAGGCTAAGAGAGTTATTTGGATTTGGTACAAGAAGGATTTCAGATTTTTTAAGTAACTTGAAGATCCGTTCCTCCTATTTTCGGGAAGAAATAATTCTTCAACTATTCAAGTTTGTGGTTTGGCCGACAGAGGAGCTATTGCTGAGAAAGCTTTCCTTGACATTGTCCCAGTGTTGTCGCAATTGTCTGCTTTTATTGAACAAACTGTCATCCCTAAAACCATTGAGGATATAACAGCTTCCTTTTATGAGATTTGAAAATGTTGAAATTGTTGAGATTGTAATTCTTTGTGTCGAAGTAGTGTAGCTCGACAAAAACAAGGTATTGTCGAATTAGTCCAATGTGTGTGTGTTGAGTTATATTAGTGTGTCGAAGTGTCGAAGCAGGTTGCTTCACAAAGGATTTCGACTTAGACCTATTTTAATAATGTTAGCTATTTTGGCTTTTATAGTTTTGCGCTTTTGCCTTGGGGTGCAAGATAACCTAAATCTATAAATAGGGAGTAACCCTTATTTTGTAAACAATTCAATTCATAACATTGAATTCACAGTTTGCAGTTGCAAGTGAATAAGAGATTTTTCGCAGTTTGTGGGCAGAAAGTTCTCTGTAGAATTTTCATCTTCTTCTCCAACAGCTATTTCTTTCTTTCTTTCTCAACTTTTCATTGTCATTGCGTGATTGATAACAATCTTGAGATCAATATTGAGCGTAATTCTCCATAGGTTGTGGTTGAATTCCAACATCTGGTATCTAGAGCCCCGGTTGCGATTCAAGGAAGCAAAACTGTGATGGCGACGAATTCTCATAATTATCTTTCTTGAGAATCAAAAGGTTTGTCGGAAAGTGTCCGCTTGCAGAGAATGCGACGGATCAAGAAAAGGTTGCACACAAAGAATTGAAGAAGAAAGATTATAAAGCTCTCTTTATAATCCATCAATGTGTTGATCCAGATAATTTTGAGAAGGTTAGTGATGTAGAATCAACAAAAGAAGTTTGGAAAATTCTTGAAAAATCGTTTGGAGGTGCAGAGAAGGTGAAAGAGGTGAGGTTACAAACTCACAAGTGAACCTATGAATTGTTTCAGATGGAAGAAAGTGAAAGTATAATAAATTTCTTCACTAGAGTTACAAAGCTGGTGAATCAAATCAAGGTATGTGGAGAAGTGTTAACATCAAGATTAGTTGTTGCAAAGATCTTGAGGTCATTGGCTCCAAAGTTTGACCACGTGGTAGTAGCCATAGAAGAGTCAAAAGACTTGTCAGTATTGACGAAGGAAGAGCTTCAAGGGACGCTTGAGTGTCATGAATAAATGATGACTGAAAGAGCTGCAGAAAAGTCGAAGAGTGATATGGCTTTGCAGGCGCAGTCAAAAAAGGAAAAGAAAAGCAAATGAAGTTGGAATGGTAACAAAGGTAGAGGAGGCTACAACAATTCGACAGGTCGAAATCAGCAGGAAGGAACTGGCCGAATAAGAGAAAACCATAGAACCAAGGCAACCAAAGAGGTGGTGCTGCAGGTAGAGGAAGAGGTGGTGGTCAAAAGTCTGACAAAAGTCACATTCAGTGTTTCTTTTGTCAGATGTATGGTCACTATTTTAGTGAGGGTCGAGAAAAGAAGAAGAATCAAGAAACTGATGCAAAGCTGACAAAACATGAAGAAGAAGGGATGTTGTTGATGGTCACAATAAGAGAAAAAGAAAGATTCCAAAACCAGTGGTACTTGGACTCAGGATGCTCATCACAAATGACTGGTAGGAAAGATTGGTTTGTCAACATGAAGCCCTCAATGAAGAATACGGTGAAATTTATAAATGAAAATACTCTAGCAGTTGAAGGTATTGGGGATGTTTTGATTATGAGGAAAGATGTCAAGAGGTCAGTAATTTTCAATGTGTTGTACATACCAGGCATGAAGAGTAATTTGCTCAACATATGGCAGTTGGTCGAAAAGAACTATAAGGTGTGGATCAAAGACAAGATGATCAGAGTTCTCGACTCAGGTGGTAGGTTAATCTTGAAGATCAAAGATTCTAAGGGCTGATGGTGGTGGAGAGTATGTGTCAAAATATTTCGATGCATTATGTGAGAAAGAAGGGATTGTGCATGAGGTGGTGCCACCTACACTCCACAACAGAATGGAACTATAGAAAGGAAGAATAGAATCATCATAAATATAATGAGAAGTATGCTGAGAGAAAAGCATCTATCCAAAGAATTAATGGGAGAAGCTGTGTCGACAACAACATACATCTTGAATAGATGTCTGACGAAGAAGCTAGAAAGAATCACGCCAAAAAAATGTTGGTATGGTGTCAAGCCTAGCCTAATTCATTTGAAGGTGTTTGGGTCTATAACACATAAACATGTGCTAGATCAGTTGAGAAGAAAGCTTGATGACAAGTTGAGTCAGATGATCCTGATATGATATCATTCGATTTGAGGATACAAGTTGTTCGACTCAGTGAACAAGCAAGTAGGGATTAGCAGGGACGTGATCATATATGAGCTTAAGAAATGGGATTGGAATGAGAATGTTAAGAAGGATTAAGTGAGAATCTTATGTGAAGAACCAGTGAGTGAAGTCGAAAGAGAAGTTCAACAAGAAGAAGTCAGAGGTGAAGCAGGCCCAAACATATCTCGGCGAACAAGACACGTGCCTGTAAGGTTACAAGAATGTGTGATTAGATCAGATGATATGGTCGACGAAGAAGGTGAGTTGGTACACTATATTTTTTATGCAAATGATGAACCAGTCAATGCAGCTGAGGCATTGAAAGATTCAAAGTGGGTGAAAGCAATGAATGAGGAGTTAGAATCCATTGAAGTCAACAACACTTGGTCACTTGTCAAATTGCCTTAAGGCAAGAATTCAATTGAGATGAAATGAGTTTACAAGGTGAAGGTGAATCCTAATGGAGAAGTAACTCGACACAAGCGAGACTTGTAAGGATGAAATCGATTTTGACGAAGTTTTTGCACTTGTTGCTTAGATCGAAACAATTAGGTTGGTTTTTGGTCTAGCAAACATGAACAATTGACACACATGTCAGATGGATGTGAAATGTGCATTCTGAATGACCCCTTAGACAAAGAAGTTTATGTTGCACAACCAGCTGGGTTTGTGAAATAAGGCGAAGAAAGAAAGGTGTACAGGCTGCATAAATCCTTGTATGGATTTAAGCAAGCTCCAAGAGCTTGGAATAAGAAGATCAACAACTTTCTAAGGAAGAAGGAATTTGTGAAGTGCACGACTGAGCATGAAGTATATGTAAGGAGAAGGAATATTGAATTGCTTATACTATGTATCTACGTCGATGATCTATTGATAACAGAAAGTTGTAAGAAGGAGATCGAAGATTTCAAACATGACCTAAGTGAGGAGTTTGAAATGTCAGACTTGAGAAATCTCTCATATTTCCTTAGTATCGAATTCTACAATAGTGGTAGAGGTTTTATGATGCACCAAAGAAGATATGCATGCGAAATACTCAAGAGATTTGAGATGCAAGATAATGGGATACACTGATTCAAGTTGGTGTAGTGATGTTGAGGATAGAAAATCCACAACTGGCTATATGTTTATGCTAAGTGGTGCACCTGTTGCTTGGAGTTTGAGAAATGAGCCAGTAGTGACATTGTCATCATGTGAGGCAAAATGCATAGCTGCTTCTCTTTGTTCATGTCAAGCAACATGGATGGTGAACCTGATCGAAGAGATTACATGGAAGAGTCATGAAGCAATTACATGAAGATCGACAACATGTCAAACATCAACCTGGCGAAGAATCCAATAGTACATGGTCAAATCAAGCACATCGAAATGAGGTTCCATTATCTTCGACAACAGGTAGCAGAAAGGAAGATGAACTTGAAACACTACAGAACTGAGAATCAGATTACAGACATCATGACGAAAGAGAGTACAAGTCGAGATGTTCAAAAGACTATGAGCTATGATGAATGTAGATAGATTAGACACAATGAATTGGGTGATGTGCTGAGATTTTAATTCCTTGTGTCGAACCAGTGTAGCTTGACAGAAACAAGTTCTAGTCAAATTAGCCTAATGTGTGTGTGTCGAGTTGTATTAGTGTGTCGAAGCAGGTTGTTTTACACAAGATTTCAACTTAGGCATATTTTAGTAATGTTAGCTATTTTGAACTTTTATAGTTTTGGGCTTTTGCCTTGGGGTGCAAGCTTACCTAAATCTATAAATAGGAAGTAACCCTTATCTTGCAAACAACTCAATTCATAACATTAAATTCATAGTTTGCAGTTGCAAGCGAATAAGAGATTTTCTACAATTTGTGGGCAGAGAGTTCTCTGCAGAATTTTCATCTTATTCTTCAACGTTTCTTTCTTTCTTTCTTTTTCAATTTTTCATTGTCATTGAGTGATTGATAACAATCTTGAGATCAAAATTGAGTATAATTCTTCATAGATTGTGGTTGAATTCCAACAAGAATAACTTCTACAACCTTTATGATATGTTTGAATTTGAATGGGTGGGTAATGTTGTGATTTGAGGGGGCAAATACAATATCTAAGCCAAATATGAATTGATGGGGTTGATTCACCTAAATTCTAGAATAAATTTGTTAGCATTGTTTTACTAGTTTGTTACTATATTGCATATGGATATATAATCTTGTATTTACTAGAGAAATGATCGTGAAATGGAAAAATTAGTCCTTTCTTCTTATCTGTTTTCATAGGAGGCTTCTCTACTTTTTAAATAGAGTAAACAAATTTCACAACTATATCTGTTTTTATAGGAGGCTTCTCTATTTTTCAAATAGAGTAATCAAATGTCACAACTATAACACACTCAGACTCCAACTTAAGTCTAAATCAAACTTGTAATAAGACAAAGATTTACACTTTTCTTTACATTATTTTTTAATTGATATAGCTTATTTTTTCAATACATTACATTGAAAATAAAATTTTAATCACTTTTAATATAAAAGTCAAAGTATTTGGTCTCACTAATACTTTTGACTTTGGTTGATTCTGAATTCCAATTTATTGAAACTTTAGGTAAAAACTACATTTATTCTTTTTTCTATTTTAATAATTGTTTCCATAGAATAACAATTTAATATTCATTTCTTTATAGGTGTATAAATAAAAAATTCTCAAAATTCTCGAAGAAAAAAAAACAACAAATGTCCAATACCGAGTCAATAAAAAGCATGTGAATAAGCAATTTATTTAAAACTTATGGCATAATTGCTTATCAAAATACAATTAATGCAATATTTGTTTAGGGTTTAGGGTTTACAAATGTTATTTTTAAAAATGATACATTGAAATTCACATATCCTTTTATTTATTTTAAGTTTTGATAATTTATATTTGAGTACTTTTTATTTTTAAAAATATATTTTATTCATGAACTTATTTGTTATTATTCTTTATGTCAATGAATGAGAATCTTACATTTCTTTACAATCATAACTTCCCACTCATTTAATTTTAGCACACTTATTTTTTTATTTTTTATTTTAAAAATTTAATTAAAAAAACTTAAAAATATTTGTAGAAACTTCATTCATTTCCAAACACATTGATGAAAATAAATTTTTTGACAATAATATTCTCAAATATAATATTTTTGAGATTATAATTTTAATCCATTAAACAAACACTCTTTACAAATAATATTTTAAACAAAAAATAAATAACTTTAAATTATTTTAATATATGTTAATACTATAGACTGTTTTAACAAATTTTTTAAAACAGTAGTACTCTTGCATCTAATATTATAAACAAATTTTACTTTTTAAATATATTAAATAATTAATTTATATATAGATTAGATATATTAATTATTTAATATATTTAAAAAATAAAATTTATTTATATATAAACTAATTCATTAATTATTTATTATATTTAAAAAATAAAATTTGTTTATAATAGAAAACAAATTGTATACCATAAATTTATGACATGTCAATTCAAACGTGTTAAAAAAAAAAACCGAAAAAGTAACCGTTGTCGGTTTCATCAAACCACGACTCATTCTTTTTTCTCTCTCACTCACAAAACCCTTTTTCAATTATTTCTCCTGAAGCAAGCAAAGCACTATCGATAGAAGTAGAATCTCCCTAACACAAGTTTCAGAATCCAAAACACTTCCCAAAAAGCTAACTACTCCAAGAATCAATCTCTTCTAATTCCGTTTTAATTCCAATTTATTATTTATTAAACCCTAATTAATGGACTTTATTATTTTTACGCTCCAATTTAAATTAACTCCATTTTTCACACTAACCTAAAATTTCTCCATTCTTCTAATCTTCTTCCATGGCGGAAACTGGTTTTTCGTTGATGGTTCCGAACACGAAGAAGAAGAAAAAAACCGCGGAATTTTATTCTTCTTCTCCTTCTCCACTTGCAATTTTTTCCAGGAAAAGTTTGATCTATGATAGGCTTCCTTCACAGCCTTTAAGACTCTCTGTTCTCAAATTAGACGGTTCTTCATTCGGTAATAGTATTGATATAATCATTTCTTTTTTACTTTTTTTTTTTTTAATTTGATTTGTTGTTGCTATTGTTGAAAATTGATTGATTTTTTGTTGTTGTGGTTTTTAGATATTCAAGTTTCGAAGAATGCAACTATTGCGGAGCTTAAGGATTCAGTGGAAGCTGTTTTCAGTTACATGCCTCAGAATGGTCCAGGCAAAATTTCATGGTCATTCTTTACTCACTATAAATTTTTTTGATGAAATATGCTCAATTTGTTCATCTTTACAATTTATTAGTCTTGTTTTAGTGTTTTATAATGTGTGTATGAAATGTAACATGAGAGCTTTGTAGCACTAACACTTACGGTTTTAAAAACGGGCGTAGTCTCGTAATGGTTTTCGTAATTTTGGTTGGTACGGTGATTGCAGTCGTCGTCGCAGCAGCAGCTTGAATTAACCACAACTTGTTCTTTAATGTAGAAAACGGTGGTATCAACATCTGCCAAAACCGTTTTGTTGTGCGTTTGTGCTTTTTTTCCCAATTATTACTGGTGTGGACATGTCAGTGTTGATATGTCATGTCTGGCGTTCGTGTCTATGTCCGTGCTTCTTAGTGAGAAAGTGTATTTCATCTTGTTGCATCCAATCTCTCACCGATTTTTATGGAATTTAATGAAACATGTTTTTCTTTCCATTTCATACTTAAACTATGCAAACTATATTGTGGTAGGTAACTATATTCTATTCCAGCCCACACTAAATTTCTTTCTTTCTTTTTTAACACAGATCAATGAGTGGGATTTTTTTTAAAATTTTCTGCAGTTCTTAATATTTCTATGATTTGTAGTTTTCCATTGTTTGTATTGTGAGAATATATTTGTAATGTTGCATAAATATGTACTTATGTTTAATTTGTGATTGTGAAGGCCACATGTTTGGGGACAGTTTTGCTTATGCTATGATGAAGAGAAGCTAGTTAAGGAGGAGGATTATCTTAGAAATTATGGTGTCAAGGATGGTGACCAGGTTGGAAAATTTTCCCGATTGTTGCATTCAGCTTGATTTAAGCTTTCACTATGTTCTTAATAAATATTTTATCAAATGAGTTACTGCATTTAGAAGTCTCTGTCTACTGTGTTTAAGAAACAAAAATTGGTTATAATTTTGTGAATCGTATAATTTTGATTTGCTTTTGCTTTCATTTCTTCTCAGTTATTATAGACAAGAACTGTGTATCACATCATTGTTTGAACTATTTCTTTTTGGCACAATCTCTATGATGTATTCTGTATAGAAGTCTGTCTATTGATGCAATAGTTGTTTTTTTTTTCTTTCTGTTATGCATAGCTCAATTTCATCCGCCATGCATCAAATAATTGCGGTGTTCAAAGAAAGCGGTCAAAGAAAAGAGTTTTCCATTTGAAACAACACAGGAGGTACAAGTTTTCAATCATCGTTTCTATTTACTTAAATATCAAGTTGTTGCCTGCATGACTCAGGAAATTCAGTTGCTATTTGCCAGGTTTAACTATTAGAGTCTTTCCTGTGCTTTCATTAAGAAGTCCCGTTTATATCGAAAAAATTGTCAACTTAACCAATAAGATTATCATAAACTGTATATCACAAATCTTCATTTAAGCCTGCATGGAACATCTTATCTTTATCATATGTTGGGTGATTATTATTATTGTTATTAGTAACCAATATTTTTCAAAGGGTGTGGAGAAAATTGATTTGATTTGCACATGGATTAGATAAATGAATCTCATACCTGTGCTATGATAAGATATTGTTCTGAAACTAGTCCTTACACTAGCCAGGTGATATAATCAATTTTAGGTCACAAGTGAATTACTGCAAACAGAAAGGAAATAGTGATGATGCTGATGATGATAGCATTGGTTCTGATGAGAATGCAGAGGTCAAGGAACACTCTAAAGAAGTGCATGTTGCAAAGAACAAGATAACTGGCTTTGTGGGAGATTTGTTATCCACACCACTAGCAATTGTGAGAAAAACTAAAACTCAAAACCAGATCTTCCCGTCGACAATTTCAAGGTGTTTGCTCGGCAGTTTCAGAAAGATTAGAAGGATTGTTTGTTTCGGAAAGAGACAGCAGTATTCTATATGGAAACGGTACTAACAATATTTAGGTAAGGCTCAAAACAGATGAAAACTGTGACTCTTGTAAATTTTGACTCATCAATAAGCGTGCATGTGAAATTGTATTGCTGTATTGGTACTGGATCGGGATTGGGATTGTAGATATTGCATATTCTCAATCTAGTGGATCTACTCAAAACGCAGACTGTTTGGAGTTGTTTTATTTTTCCATCAATAAATTAACAATTCACCTGCACTTTCAGACATTTCAAGTAGTCCCATGATAATGTATACAGCAAGCATGGTTGATGTTTTGATGGTTCTAGTAACCCTTTGGAGCCTAGATGCAATTGAATCTGATGTTTTTTTTTCCTGCAACTATGCTTACTATGGTTGTTGCTGTGTTTCCTATGTTTGGATGCTACAATTGAAACGATATCGGTATGGATGTCTGTAAAAACTCTGTTTGGGCCTACTTGTTGCTGTGTTTGAAAATTCATCAATAATATTTTTATTGTTGGCTAATTATGTGTTTCAAAATGAGAATCTTTTTTTTTTTTATAGCAAATGATATTTTTTATTTTTTACAGAAAGAATGTGTTTTTCTAGTAGAAATAATTTATTTTTCAATTCATTTAATTATTAGTGTTTATACTATTTCTAACATGTTAATAAGTTAATTTAATTAAAATGTAGTATCTTTTATTACTTTATTACATTCTTTATTGTGTGTAAAAATTTTAAACACTCATTATTGTTGCCTAATTCTTGGTTGCTGGTTGGGCTTCTTTGTGATAACTAAGTTTTTTGGTATAAAATTTTATTTGAGGATTACTTTATCCACTTGAGCGAACAGATTAGTAATTTGATTTTATCTTTACATATTTTTGGAGATTATTTTTAGACGTGTACAATACACATAAAAAAGTATTATCTCACATGAGACACATCTCACGTTATGTCAAAAATTAATTCGGAAATACATAAAAGGAAATTTTAAAATAATTTTTTTATTGGTGCATTTGGAGATAATTTTTGGTTGTGACTTTTCACGATAGTGAACTAAGAGCATATTTAGTGCAGGTTTTGTAGTGAACTAAGACAATCAATAATGTGCTTAGGTCAGAAGAAAAATGAATAATATTGTTATGTTTAAAAGAGACGACATAATAATAATGGGATACTAAAAAGGATCAAGTTGTCGTGTTTCAATCTGCGCCGTCATTAAGAACTTAAAAGATGTGGGATGGACCAACTAGAGGCATCGGATTAAAAATTTCACATAACCACTTTCTAGTACAGGCCGTTATGTTGGCGGCGAACTCTGTCAAGTTCCCGCATTCTTCATGTATACCTTTAAATTTTCCAAGCTCTTCCTGAGTTGCTATACTATTTCATCTTTCTCTATTAGTTGTATTGACAATAATATGTGCTCATTTTGCTAAAATCTATGTTGAGTGATAGATGTAGGGCCTCTTTCATACAATACCTTGAATGAAAGCGGTTATGTCAATATTCCTCTTGAGTTGTTGTACTATTTCATCTCTCCCTATCAATTGTCTTAACAAGGATATATTCATTTTGCTGAGAGCTATATTGAGAGCTATATTGAGTAGTAGATGTAGGGTCTCTCCTATATAATTAGGGGTGTGTAAAAAAATCGGTGATTGTTCCAAATTTGTATCTAAATGGTTATCCTTTTAAAAATCCAAACCTAATGCTAAAATATAAATCTAATTATCTATTTTGTTATCTAAATATGAACCGGTTTTCATAATAATAATATGGTGTAGTTATTGGATATCCAAATTTCATTATTTGTTAAATACTAATACTTCATAAATTATATGACTTTTAGCAGTTAATTTTATGAACTTTCAGTAATTAATTATATAGATCTTAGTGGTTTGATTTGGCATGTGGTAAAAAATATAACAAAATTTAATTTGTTGGATTTGACTCTAGTTTTTATTTAAAAATTTCGGAAATCATTAAAGCTTTATGAAAAAATGATTATAAATATTATAGATTTTTACACCAATAGATAGAGGTTTTGAAATATACAAATATATGTATTATAACATATTAGTTACCAATTTTAAGTCCATATAATTTGCTGAAAATTTTTATTTTAGAATTTTTTATTTTCAGTTTTATTCTTCCCTCTCTATCAAATGCCTTGGCAGAAATATGTACTTATTTTGCTGAGAGCTATACTGAGTGATAAATGTAGGGTCTTTTCCATAGAATACCTTGAATACCATGAAAGCAGTCACGTCTATACTTGAAAGATGAGCAATGTTGTACCAATACTCTTTCCATGTTAAATCCTTATGCCAAACTTTTGGATGATCAAATGTGAAGCACCTCAATAACATTTCCAAACCTTTGTTGAGGACCTCAGATCGACCATCAAATGTTCTTGCATTTCCTAAGTCTCCCTCAGAGGTGAGTTGTAGTTTTCTTTCATCACCAGTTGTACCAAGTTTGATTTCTCTATACTATATGAATCCTATTAGAAATTATTATTATTATTATTATTATTATTATTATTATTATTATTATTATTATTATTATTATTAAGGATAGTTTAGATTTTTTCTATTATCTAGTATTTATTATTGTAGTTTTTATTTTATATATTTTTGTAATTTTCTGATGGAAATCATAAAATCTCTTCTCTCTTGTTAATATGGTATCAAGAGCTTGGTTGAATCAATAAGTTATTTGCAACAATAAAAATTCTTCTGTGACTTTGTTGTTATGGTTTGTTTCTTTTCTCATTCAATTCATTAGTCTCGTCAATTTTGTGTTTATGATTTTTTTATAGAAGTTCTTTTAAGTTCTAAGTTTGAATTCATTTGAATTATAAATTCTTAGAAAAGTAGTAATGACCAGTGAAAAAGACGATTCTCTTCAATCTATTAGCGTTCAACTCAATGGAAAAAATCATGATTATTGGAGTTATGTAAGGAAAAAAAATTGAAAGGAAAAAAAATGTGGAATTAATGGAATTCATTTGAGCCCACAAATAAATAAGATGAAGCAATATATGCAAAAAAAGTTAGAAACATGATATGTTAGTAATTCGAAGATCCTCACTTTGATTTATAATTTTTTCTTTCCGTCAGTAGCTGTACAACTAGGAAAATATGATATTGCTAAGGAGGTTTGAGATCATTTGGAACGTTTGTATAATCAGTCTAATTTTGCAAAATGGTGCCAATTGGGGTTTTTAAACAAAACAATATTACCATTCAAGAATTTTATTCAATTATGACTAATTAATGGGATCAACTGGCTCTTATGGAATCATCAAAATTAAAAATTGTCAAAGCATACATCAAGTAAAGAGAAAAGCAGTGTCCCATTCAATTTTTGATGGCCCTTTTATTTGATTTTAAGAGTCTTAGTGAAAATATTCTACATTGTAATCCTCTTCCCAATGTTATTTCAGTTTTTAATGAGTTATTGGTAGAAGAAATCAGACTTAAGACTCACTCTAATATGATTCAAAAAAAAAAAATTCTCTACACCCTTCCATTTGTTTTTTATGCTCCTATTCACAAAGGAAATTATCAAGGTAGAATTATGTCTGGTATCGATGAATATGCTTTTTGTAAGAAGAAAGGTTGTTGGAAATCTCAGTGTACCGAATTATTGAGAGAAAATAAGAAGAATTTTAAAAGTTCATCATCCAATATTGTTGTTGTTGTTAGTCCTACTACCATTGGTTGTGATTCTGATTATGTATGTCCATCTTAGACCATTTCTCAAATATCTGATAATGCAAAGCAGCTTCAAAATATTCTTGCCACTCAATAATGTGCCATGTATGCATCCTCTATTAAAGGTTTGAATTCTTTTAGTCTATCAGGTATATCTCCCTCCATATGGATCCTTGATTCTAGAGCATCACATCATATATCATATGATGATAAATCATTTGTGTCTTTAAATCCTTCTTCATCTATGCCAATTATGACTATTGATGGTACACCTATGCTATTAACATGTATTGGTTTTTTTCTCTACAACTAATTTAACACTTTTTGATGTTTATTATATTACTAGTCTTACTTTGAGTTTTGCTTTTGTTAGTCAATTGTGTGGTTATGATTATTCTCTTACATTTTTGTCCACTTTTTATTGTATGCGTGATCCACATTCTAGGAGGCTGATTGGGACATGTTGTAGACAAGGGGGACTTTATATTTTGGATGAGTTGAAAGTATTAGATATTACAACCTCAACTTCTATTTCCAAAACTGATTTATTAGTTTCTTTTTTGTTTGAATTCTTCGTCTTTTAGTTTTAATTTATGACATTCCCATCTAGGATATATATCTGCTTCTAGATTAAAGTACTTGACTTCTACTGAAGCTTTAGGAAAGTTATAAACCAATGATATTTCACATTGTTGTAGTTGTGAACTTGCAAAATTTTATGCTTTACCTTTATATAAAAGTGATTCTATTTCATATGCACCCTTTGACTTGGTTCATTGTGATGTATGGGGTTCATCACCAGTTATTATCAAAGGTGGATCTAGATATAATGTTTCCTTGATAAAAATACTCGTTAATGTTGGATTTACCTTATGAAAAATTATTCTGATTTTTTATAAATATTTATCATATGTTTCATGCAATGGTTAAAATGCAACTGCCATACCCCAAAATTTACCCTTAGATTAGTAGGTTCATTTTTCATTCCATCTCATTCTGCATGGCCTTTTATCTAACCACTAACCGGTTTGCCCAGTCTGTTGGTTTTTGCAGGAAAATCACGTTGTGTACGTTTTAATTTATGAAGGGCAAAAGGATCATTAATTTGCGGTATGCCGACAGTTTATGAAGCAAAATTGTCGTCAGGAATTCTTCAAGCGATTTGGGTTTCAATCTCCGAGTCATGTGATTTTATTTAAGAATGGGCTGAATTTTACGACAGTTTTGACGTCAGGTTTCTCGTGACACAGTACATTTTATTCAATAGCCGAGATTTAGTCGTCAATTGGGTTTTAAGGTGCTGGAGCTGAGT